TACATATTTTTTGAAACTGCGAATATGTTTTATTTCATGAACTTATTTTCAAATAAATAAACATTATTCAAATTCAAAATTTGTTCACCCAACTGAAAAAATGTTCACCATAATTTTGAAGTTGAGAACATTTTCTAAATTCATGAATTTTTTACAAATTCATGGATCCTTTTAGAATTCAAGAACATTTTCTGAAATTGCATAAATGTTTTTGGAAGTCATCAACAAGTTTTATTTTGCACAGGCGAACATTTCTTGAAATTCGGGAATAAGTTTTGAAATTCGGAAACATTTTTTGTTTGTGAGAGACATTTTTTGAATTCATAAATATGTTTTCTGAATCAGTAAACACTTTTAAGAAAATTGTAAACTTCTTTTTTTATTCCCAAACATTGTTTTGAATATTTAAAAAAAATCAAGGACGTTTTTTGTTGAAGCAAACTTTTATTTTTTAATCATTAACATCATTCGATGAACGGTATTTTTAGAAAAAACTCATGACATTTTATAAAGTCACGAAATTTTTAAAAGACAATGATATCCATATAATAGAGAATGCATCCCTATTTTATATACACCACGGACGTGGCCTGGTGGATAGTTCGTGCATTGATGGGCCGGAGATTAGATTGCGAGTTCGAATTCCCACTCTGCCAGTATGAAACCGTATGTTTTCCTCCTGTCCCTGGCGGCTGGTCGGTCGTCGGTGGTGACGGTGGTCGCCGGATCCACGTGTGTGGATCGTTTTTACTGTCCATCGGTCCTATGGTTGGGGATGGATTTGAAAACCAGTCTGTTCAAGCAAAGATGGCGTGGCGGCGGCGGCATCCTCGTGGTGGACCTGTGTCCTCAGGCTCCGCCGTTGCGATGGCGTTTGCTCCAGCGTCGGCGCGGAGCTTGGGAGGTAGTCCAGGAGCGGATGCAGATTGTGGTCTGCATCGACGACATCTGGAAGACGGAACATGTGTTGGGTTCGTGGTTCGTGGATGGCAGGTATGGTTTCCTTCTGCGACATCTTAGCCGCGGTGGGGTGCCAGATCTGGAGTTTGATGGCGTGTCCGGGGTGTTGCCCCGGTCTGATTCGTTCAACGGTAAGAGCTTCACTTTTGGTGAGCCACCTTAGAGGTCCGCAAAGCTACATATCAACGATGGAGCCCCGTCGAGCTCGGGTGAGGAGGTGATCCATCATTCTTTTCTTCGGTGGCTGCTGTCGTGATGCCGGAGACAGGTGATGGGCGTTGGTGTCAAGTTCAGAGATGTTCTGCTATCTTTTCAGTTTTGTCATGTCGATCCTTACGTGACTTGTACTTTAATCTTTATGATATAAATGAGACACGTATTACCATGAAAAAAACTTAAAAAACGTATTGATCACGTATTTTTATGTATCAGGACCGTATTGAAGCAATACGTAAGTTTCAGGATCAAGTTGGACGTCGCTTGCAACTACAAAGACTATAGATGCAATTATCTCAAAATCATGTGGAACCTCGCTTCTGCCGATCATGGGCGCTCCCACAAAACAAGACGTTTCGATTTAAGGGAGTACCCTGGTTGAGACTTGAGAGGCAAATTGCGAAGAAACTGCCACTGGTGGCCGGCCGCACCAAACGAGTCGTACGACTCGTCGTCTCTATCGCTCGATCCCCCAACTCCCCCACTAGCGCTCGCGCTAGCCGCTAGGGTTGCAGGGCCACCGCCGTCGCGTCGCCCGACAGCCCGTCCCGGCCTCGACGCCCGACGCCGCCTCGCCCCCTCCGCCCCGGTCGCTGGCCTCGACGCCCGAAGCCGCCTCGCCCCGCTCCGCCCCGGCCACTGACCTCGAAGCCCGACGTCGCCGCAGGTGAGCTTTCTCCTCTCTGTCTCCTCTGCTCTGTCTCCTAGATGGATGAATGAATGGATGGACTGGCTGTATGTTTCCTCTCTGCTCTGTCTCCTAAATGGATGGATGCATAGATGAATGGATGAATGAATGTATGTTTGTTTGGTAGGAGTAGATGATTTGGTTGATGTCTGAATGGATGGTGCTAGCTTTTTCCTAGATGGATGGATGAAATTTGGTACTGTGAATGCTCAATGCTACCGTGATTACAAGTTATAGTGAAGGAAACTTGAAACCTTCTTTATTGTAGTAATATTTAGCAATCTATGATATTCATAAATTGGTTTAATGCTCATATTCCATGATAAATTGCTCGAAACAACTAAGTGTTAGCAATTCAGCTCTCAGTTTCAGTTCAGGGACATTACAGACATTTCAGCACACAACTCATCCCATAATCTCATACCACAATCACAGAAAAGAACTCGACGGCTGATTCTGTGGGAAGCTTCCCAAAAGCTGATTTTGGAGAATCAAAAGCTGAAAAGAACTGGGCTAACCAAATCCTGCTCAAGTTCGTCGTTTCTTGATACGATTTGGTGTGCTTTTCAGTTTCCCTTACAAATCTGTATCTTCTGTTTTTACAGCGAGGATCACGGCATTCGATTTCCTGACTAGAAGTGCTGTGCTAATGTTGCAAGAATTGGACCGTGCAGCAATGGCGGCCGTGCCCAGTGAGGTTCCGACGCCCTTGGCCTCCACTATTCTTCTGCCAGCCAAAAGGGTGAAGCAAGATCCGAGTTGTCGGGAACCCTCGTCCGCGGTTCCGGCCATGGAGGCTGCAGGCTGGTCCACGCTCTCAGGCGACCTCGTCCGCCGCATCGCCGATTCCTTCCTCGCCAACAACGACCTGGACTACTACATGTCTGTCCGCGGCGTCTGCCCCACCTGGCGCGCCACCACCGACGACTCCAGCAGCGACACCCGGGACTCCGGCTTCCATCCGCACACGTGGATCGTCCTGGACGAGGACTTCCAGCGCGACGGCAGGCGGGTCTTGCTCAACACCCTCACTGGCCGCTTCCTCCGCAAGAAACTGCCGGTGCTGCTGGATTACTACATCATTGGTACAAGTCGCGGCTTCTTCGTGCTGGCAGACAGGAGTCCTCCTCACGCCGCTTGTGTCTTCAATCCTCTCACCGGCTGCGTGGTCCGGTTCGCGGCGCCCGTGCCCCGCGAGGTGGGGCTCTCTGAAGTTGACTCCTTGCTGGCGCTCGCCCTGTTCTGCGACTCATCTCGCACGATTTACAAGGCCGCGCCTGACAGCGAACGTTTCATCGCGGTCAAGATGAGGAGTAAAAAGCCGGCAGTTTACGATTGCTTCCGCAAGGCGGCCGTAGGTGGTGTCTATGCAGAAATCAGTGCCTTGAAATCAATTGCAGTAGCTGAGATGATTACATTTTTACCCATGTTTAATGCGATAGCTGCACAGATGCAAAATAGAGGATATCCAGAGTTCCCCAGCGATCTTCCTAGAGACGTGAAGGATATCCAGAGTTCCCTGGTGGTTTTATCTGGACAGATGTTGATCGTCTTGGGTGCACCGTTTCCCTTTGTTTGCCAAGTGGACATCGATGCAACTGAGTTGGAGCCTTTGGTGAGCATCGGCAGATTTGCCATCTTCATCAGTAATCGGAGGTGCCTAGCTGTGGATACTGACATGTTCCCATCGATTGAGGCAAACTGTGTCTACTTCATTCAGCTTCTGGGTTCATCTGCATATATCTGCAAGTCCAACATAGAGGACAGGAAAGTACAGAGGATCTCTGAAAGTCCAGATTTCGTGAAGCGGGGCAAGCGGTTTGTCCTCGTCGCTTGCCGTCCTTTTACGGTCATCCAGCTTCTATCGAGCTACACCATCAACATCCCGGATTCTCAGTTGGCACTGCAACAGATGCCATAAGGCGCCAGTCAGATCTTCATTCAGCTCTAGGGATAGTGATCTCGATGACCAACCGACAAGGCTATGCTTTTGCGAAGAAACTGCTCCTGTCTTTTTTTGTTTTGTTATGTTGGACATGCCTTGCCTTGTCATGGTTAAGAAACATGTTTATTCAAGGTTAGATCACCTGTAGTGGAACTACTGTTTGGTATCTTAATTAGTACGTACTTGGTGCTACACATACTGTGCTTGATGCTATCTATTGTCCGTGTGTCCACTTGTTCTTGACTTGTATTATTGTTACTTCCTCGCAATGCGTTGTGTTGCTTAATTTCTGGCAGTAGTAAATGTTTGTCCAAATTTTGACAGCTTCTTAATTTAGCTCCTGCAATTGGACAATTGATCATATTAGCATGCCTCCCTGTTCTCCGTAAGCTTTGTTAATTTTGCAATACCATGTAGTACTTATTAGGCAAGAAGTGGTTTGTAGAGCTGTTGTATGATGCGTCATGGGCTTACAACAGGGTATGGAAGTATCATTTGATCTATTTTCCTAACACTCTCATGCATCTATGCTTCAGCCTCTTGAACTAGTTGCATTTGCAGAATTTATAAATATTTGTGACATGGTTGACAGTTGCTGTCTCTAAAGGGGAATGCTAGATTCTTTACATACTTTTGCCCGGCAGGTGTTGCACATTTACAAGTTTTTATCCTATTTAGAGAATGCATGTGTTCTGAACTGTTTTTATCCTATTTAGTGCCACAAAAGTTAGCACAGAACAGCTATTTAGTGCTGTCTGGGGTCTATTTTTCAATCCCTAGTACTAGTTGCATTTTTAACATGCTCCTTGTATTTCTCGGAAGTACTGCAGGGACGCAATCTGCAGCACCATTGATATACATATTTCGGACACACTTTGCTGTTGCTGTCTCTAAATGGCTTATGTAGTTTTTTTACATATTTTGCCTGGCAGGTGCTGTACATTTACATAGTTATCATGTTCATTCGACCGTACTAGGAAACAAGTTAAAAGTATGCAGAGAACAGTGGCTGAAATTAACATAGGTAAGTGGATGAACTATTGAACAGCAGGTACAAAATTTGAGATCATCAAATGTTTGCCAACTAATCTGCATCATGTGTCTATTCTACTGGGCTGAGGAATTGACTTTGCTTTGTCTTTTTTTATTTATCTCTTGGTTCTTATTCTTAGTACTCAATTGTTTGCAAGTTATATGACTCATGTCCCTGTTCCTTGAATTGAAGAATTGACTTTACCTTATTAGTACTCTTAATAGTCAGTATGTAGGGTGTTCCTTTTTATACCCTCTGTTGTAACTGAGGACGAAACGAGGTAGATTCTCCCCTCTGCTGGCTTGCAAGCTGTATCTGATTTTTCGAGCACATTTGAGCAGTACTCATCAACCTCTTTGCCAGTCCGGTGGCTATGTTGTTTGTCGTTAATCTAAGTTTTCGTCCTAAAACCAGTGGTTAACTTGTTATCCCTCCCCGTTGTTTCAACTGCCTGGATTGAGCTATTGCTGATATAGTGATATTCATTGCAACTCAGTAGAATGAATTTCATTCCTTCGATACTGATCAATGGATGGTGTGGTGAATTTCTGTTATATGATGTCAGTTTTCCGCATGGATTTTCCTTTGTTTTCTTTCAACGACCAATTAGTTTGATGACGATGTTTTCTTGTTTGTTCAGTTGACATACCAATTGTTTTTCCTTATAAAAATGTCAGTTTGTTTACTTGGATGATTAGTGGTATAGGGGTCAAGTGGACGTTGCGTTTTGTACTCCTGAAACCCTATTTTGTTTCAGAGGATACATTTGAAACTCTGATTGAATGCTTCTTCCGCAGCTTCAAGATAATCGCTGGCCTTATTATCTCTGATAATTGTTGTATGAGTGATTGAATGCAGTTATCAGGGCTATCTACGTTTCACTGGTCAACCAGAACCTCGTACTACTTCAGAAGCTGACACTAACAAGGGTTAATAATGCAGAAAACAGCACTGGATGTTCTACCGAAATAGGCTTACGCCCCGCTATATTGATATAGCAACCACCCGATACAACAATCCGATCCACGCTGGGGCAAACAGCACAAGCACGCCCAAAAGAAATAACAAGAGAAAATAAGAGAAGAAATGCCAACAGCGCCGGATCGACGAAAGCTACGGCACATCACGATCGTTGCGCCCACCGAAGATAACCACCACGCTCCAAAGCCACCGAGTTGCCGTGTACCAAGCACCATCTTCAAGAAGGAATGCGACGATGACGACGCTGCTGCCCGGACGAGTCCTAGGATTTCTCCCGGTACACGGAGGGTAGAGGGGGGAGAGGGTCACCCGACGCCCTTCAAGAAGGATGGTGGCGCCCGCAGGCGTCACCGCATTGGTGCCGGCAAGACCCGACATGGATTTCTCCCGACCTCTCGCGCCCACCACCCAGGACCAACCTTCGGCTCCACCACACCCGCCGCCCACCAACATGCGCCAACAGTCACGAGGACACCGCCGTCGTCTCACCACGGCCAACGAAGCGAGGCCGGCCGGATCCAAACGAGACACCCGAAGACAAGGACCGGCAGCACCGCAGCCACGAGGGAGGGAACAACCTCCACCAGCTTAGGCGGTAGCAGACCGGGCATAGCAGCAGAGGCACACCAGACCCCCTGTCCGGCCAGGCCCTGCGTGGGCCCGTGAAGCTTCGCCGCTGTGCTGCAGCAGTCGCGGCACAGCAGCCGCCGTCCCTGTCGCGAGGAGCTCGCCGGAAACCACCGGAGAACAGCCCACTGCGGCCACCAGCAGGCCCGCCCCGACCCAGATCGAGCCCGTAGGGCCAAGATCTGGGCCAGCCGAGCGCCGCCGGCCGCCGCAGGCCATGGGCCGTCACCGCCACCAAGGGGCAACGCCTCCGCATCGCCGCCGTCCAGATCCGCGCCGGAACGCCGCCGGCCGAAGGGCTCCGCCGCCAGGACCGCTCACCCGAGCCGGGGTCCAGCGACGGGTGAAGAAGGAGGGCCGCCACCGCCGGACTGCGGGG